AGCAGGGTATACGAATTTCGCTGAGTGGCCCATGACCCTGTTCTTTCCTTCGCGGGTATCGTATATTTCACCGCGGCCCGTCGAGAAGGGTGGGAAAAATGGCAACGATACTTTAATGAGGTCTTTTTAACCTAACCCATATATCAACCCCTCGCCTGTAAGTAGCCCTCGCCATTTCCAGGCTGTTTTGTTTCGAGAATTGCCGACTGGCAGAGGAAGGCCCATGCTCTTTGGAAATGGATCCGTGCTTCAACGCCAGCCGATAAATTGCCTGACTAATAGTTTGAAGGGTCATTGCACTGAGAAAAAAACTTCGGTTCACATGGAACACTAAGATTTTCAGTCTGGGTGACAGAGGATTTTAGCAATATGGATCTCACTGGAAAAAAAAAAAAAACACATTGGATCTAGAGTCCAGACTCTTGAAAACATCGACAAGAAAAAATACTCCTGATTCGATCGGATTTTTGCTTGTATCAAAACGAAATCCGCTTAAATTAAGAGGCTCGGTTCTTAATTTAAGCTAGGTTCTGATGGAATCAAGAGTACTTTTTCTTGTCGATGTTTTTAAGAGTCTGGACTCTAGACCCAATGTGTTTTTTTCCCAGTGCTGACTAGTGGCATTTGCCAGTCGGCAACACCGTTTTTCTTCTATTTAAATCCATTAAAAATATATATTTAGATGAAGCAAGCTGCCTCACCGAGAATCTATTGTTTTACATACATTTAAATGCAGTAGGGACAGTGTTGCCCGGTGAATATTTGGTTTTATTTCTATCCTTAAAATATTCGATGTACAATATACCTTATATATGTAAAGGTACTTATTGCATTTTTTAAATTTTTTCTTTACGAAATTATTACTTCATTTTGAAAACATTTATATTTTTAGAACGTGACAAATATCTGCAAAACCTCTTCCAAGCGGCATTAATCTCAATGAGCCGCAGTTGTGCCACAAATTCAATAAAAGCACAAAATTTAAAAGAAAAAATTAAAGTCCTTTAGAAATCATTAAATTTGACACGGAACCACCAATATTTAAAAAAGACACATTATATTACCATCAATTTAAATGAGAATAATCAATGCTGAGTGTGCAAACATTTCAAAATCATGAGTTGCGCGATCAACGCTGACTATGGGAGTATAAATATTAAAGCGTAACAGGGCGGAGCGGCGTGCTGCCAGCGCGAGAGGCCGAGAGGCTCACTGGCGCCTGCAAACCTAAGTGGATACTTCGCGCATTGCACAATGCTTGAAGTATCCACTTAGGTTTGTAGGCACCATTGCGCGTTTATTCGCGCTGGCCGCCCGCCCGCCGTGCGGCCGGCGGCGCCTGAAGCAACTATTTCACAACAGAGGTGTTGCACAGTATTATATGAAACTGAATGTATTAAGAATGACAGGCCTCCTTTAAAAGTTCAGATCTTTCCTCGCAAAATAAATCAAGATACTTATCGTACACAGGAAAAATCTAAGAGCCTTTAGCTGAGGCAAGTATAGAGTATAGAGGTTTATCCGGTTCAGCTGTATAACAAGGTGGGAATTTCTTGAAAGATAATTAAGTCCCGTTACACCAGAGGTGTAGAGAGTTTTAGTGAATTTTGTCTCATGGAAATGACGCTCTCCCATTTTTACCAAAACTCTCAACTATACATATATTATTCTTTGCTGGACCAAACAGTCAAAACAAAAAAACGAGCAAACCCTCATTCTTCCAAGACATTTTACATATTCATCCAAAAACGTCGTGAGCGATTGTCGTTTGTATTTACATGTGAGCCAATTAACTTTGGGTCTCAACTGGGTTGTGGACCAAAACTCCCGTGCCGAAAAAACCCGTGGCCGTAAATTACTGGAAAAAACAGGTGCGCGGACAAAAAATCGTTGACGAAATGTCCTATAACCCTTCTGCACATATATATACCTCCGAAATGGAGATCGTCAAAGGGACTTCACGTCTGGGGCGAATTTGGCAGTTTTGCGTTTATTCCTTACCTAAATTGCAGCGATCCTGAGGGAAATATGAACATTTCTCTGACTTTTGAGGTAGAGGGACTCGACATATCAGTGGACCGCTGTAATCACAGTGTTTGGCTGTGTCTGAAGAACTGTGCTCACTGCAGCAATGGTTTGTATGCCAAATTCGGAAGATACACGGTTTTTTCCCAAGTAAAGCGTATGAACGAGAAAGGAAAATAAGGTTTTTTAATATTTTTTTAAAGTAAATTTTCGGGAATCATTCAGCATGGCAGCTATAAAGGAAAACAAAATTAGCGAAGAAATGTTTTGATAAGAAAATCATCGGAAAAAGATTGATCTAAAAATAGAACGTTAGAGAAGACAATGTACACTGGAAAAAAAACACATTGGATCTAGAGTCCAGACTCTTAAAAACATCGACAAGACAAAATACTCTTGATTCAATCAGATTTAAGCTTAAATCAAGAACCAAGCCTCTTAATTTGAGCGGATTTCCTTTTGATTTAAGCTTAAATCTGATTGAATCAAGGGTCCTTTTTCTTGTCAATGTTTTCAAGAGTCTGGACTCTAGATCCAATGTGTTTTTTTTCCATTGTAGACTTGTCATTCCCCCATGAACGTCATTGTGATGCTTCAATCATACTATTAAAGAGATGGATCTTTAAACAAAATGTTTAACTTCACGGGTTGAAATTCGTGATTAGGCACATCAATCATTCCGAGTCAACGAAAGCTCTTTGCGTTATTGCGAAGACTAATCAAATTAAAACGGAAAGTAAAGAATCGCGGCAAATCAGATTAGATCATCGATGGAAGTTTTGATGAGTTATTTCTTTTTTGAGCCCCCTTCCTCTGCTCGCACGAAATACCGAATAGTCTTACTCGAAAAAGAAAAAAATGACGATAGAAGTGCGATGCATAATAGAATTAACCTTGGTGGGATAACCTTTCCGAGCTTGTTTCACAGCCATTAATCAATCATTACATCGATGTTTCGGAAGTCATTTTCTGGTTCAAGTTTGTCAGGACCTTGAGACTTTCGTTATTTGACCGCAAATGCCATCGGTGATATTTTATTCAAGAAAATAGAGAGGCGAAGTTAGGGGCTCTTCGGACATCAGAGGTTATTATTGAGGTCTACATGGTTCTGGCCGAGTAATTTTATGCTGGCTTTTTCCCCTTTTTTATAGTAAAATGTCCTGATCTTGTCGGCCATCTGCAAATTTTTGTCTTTCTTTACTCTATTTCATTGAACCTAGGAGGAACTATAGAATCAAGCTGTCCACTGTTATTTTGAAAGAAGCACAACTGTGTTTTCATTATATTTAGCTGGGTTTTTGATAGGCCTCAAAAATTTAATAACGTTGCACTTTTATTTTTGAATCTGAGGAAAATGATCGTTATAAATTTCCACCGATGGAGAATTCGCATGCACATTTTTTATTGCTTCATCTGAAAGTGCTTAAAGAGGTGATTTAGCAGTATTTTTTATAATTTTTTTCTGTCATGGAAAATAGTATAAAAATAGATTTAAAAGTGAGTAAATGCACCGCCTAGTGACATCATCTGGCGGCATTTTCCATTTAAACACACGTATTTTACCAGATTAGATCATTTTGTCATATCTCATCCAATAATTGTTCAATTCATGAACCAAGGGTATCCTCGTGTTCAGTCCGCTCGGTAGTTTCCACTTAAACACGAAATTCATCAAATTTCAGACACCTGCAAATTCTCTATAGCACATTCGTCAACGAAAGGAGGTCAGGGTTTGCAAGGCAATATATTACATTACAACATGAACAAGCAGTTCCAACGCCAAAGCGTTGGAGGGCGCTTCTTTAACACTGCGCATGCGAGGAACGTTTTCATACGGCCAAGCGAGAGTATTGCGGACGGACGATGTATAACAAATTGCCTACGTGAAGGTGGTCCGGCAGCAACATACCCGCCGCTAGTCTCTGGAAAACAATAGAAAATAGTAGTTGCGTACGTTGCCAGCGAGCGCGCTGCGAGCGCATCTGTTTCAGTTACCTAGCATCGAGTCGAGCCTCTAACTTTCTATTCTCTCTGACATAACCTTAAACTTTCAACCCAGAGCCGCAAACAGCTGACGCTTGACGATGCTGCGCCGAGAAAATGAACCAATCACAAAATAGCACAGTAATACGTCACTAAAATGAAGAGATCACGTGACTGTTCGTGATTTTTTCGAATCAATCTGAAACTACAACCTCGAATATGAGGCATTTAAGCATAACGAAGCCCCAAAATAGTTTAACCAGGTAATACGTCCGTGCGAGATTGTTATGCTTAAAAGCAAAACATTTCACGAAAACTTTTACGAATACCAGATGCAGAAAAAAATCCAATTTTCCCGGGTGTACCAGAATGGCGTCATTACCCATAAGGCAAAAGGGCATGTAGTATAGTACATGTTACATCGGGGGAGTCGAACGGTTGGAAAGGGCGCATCTGGTACCCAGAAGCGCCCAAAATGAGTCGTAATTTGTGACTTTTTAAAATACCCAAATCCTCAATTTTAATAATTAAACATTACGCGTATACATACTGCCTCGAGAGTTGGTGGCAAAAGAACAACTTAATTTGGGGAAAATGCTGCAAAAAAAGAACAAAGGATAAACAACACCCGGAACGTTTCAAAATAGTTACAATTTCATTTTCAACCGGAAAATAAATTAAAAATAAAAACGAGCCGTCGCTACGCTGCTATTGCGAGACCGGGTTTCCGGTTCCGGGTTTTCCGGGTTTTGTTTATCCTTTGTTCTTTTTTTGCAGTCTCTTCCCCAAATTGAGTTGTTCTTTCATTATGTGTATTTTGGCTGATTACGTTGTTTTTCATTCTGTATAGGTGGTAGTTAAACTTTTTTGTTGAAATCTAATTTTGACATTTTTACACTTATTTGTTTATTAAGAGGGATCATTTCCACGTATCATACAATCGTTCGTTGTTTCACTTTCATAAATGATCAACAAATTTTCTTTTGTTTCAGGATGTGCCATCGCACGTGACGATGCTGACCTTATTCATGATGGCAGTGGACCGCTATAAATACTTACTGGATCCGAGCAAGGATCGATTACCAGCCTACGTCTTCGCTACAGGCACTTGGCTGTCCGGCATCTGTATCGCCTTGCCTTACCCCATTTACACGACCTACATAGACTTTTCGGTAAGTTCCACATCAGAAATCACACCATAAGTTGATGGGCTTGGAGACAAAAGTCTGCACTCTACCGTGCTACACCGAAAAAGAAAAGTTGCTGAAGTAACATTCCGGATGTTAAAAATCTGCGCGACAACTCTTGAATGTTGTTATGAATACTTTGGCTGTTAAAGTAACATCCTAAGTCTAATTAACAACCGTAGCGTTCATATCGACATTCAAGAGCTGTCGCGCAGATTTTTAACATCCGGCATGTTACCTCAGCAACTTATTTCTTTCGGTAAGGAAAAACGCCGTATGAAGATTCCAAAGTTCCCAAATTTACTCCGATAAAACGTTTATTTTTGATGAAAGCCACCAGTATTCCTCCTTTAAATTTTCAGGAGCTTTAGGTGAAATTGTGAACAAAATTATTTGAAAAATTGGAAGAAAACGATTCCTAGGTTTACCAAGAGATTCGTTTTTTATCAAAGGAAATTTGGCAGCGCCTAAAGGTTCATGCTGCGTTGTTCCTCAGCACGGCAGTGCTTACAGTCTAAGAAACCTTATTGTAAGTTGCAGGAAATCTGCTGTCAGCTAAGGATTATTTTACCCATCGTCGCTTGAAGAGTATGATTGAGTCCGTGGGCGATGGAGTTTGCTGAAGTCAAAAAGAATTCACATTCTATTCCGAGTCATTGAAAAATAGAATCATGCGTTCAATCGTGAAACGATGTTTTTCAGAGCATTTCATTACTTAATGTATTTTCATCAATTTTCTGCTCTTAGTTATTTGCGCTCTTCTTCTTTTGAATTATTCCAAGCCACCGCTTAATTTTTCTGCGATGAATCAATCTCTCACCCCCTTTTCTCTTCCAAACTGTCTCTTTTTGTGGAATTTTCAAGGCATTTTAAAGTCAGCTAATGTCCATTACTTAAGAATTACGCCAGACATAACAATTTTTATAAAGATTTGAAAACTAAGAAAAAATAAACGGAAAATCCCTGAAATGGGTTAAAAAGCTCCGACTAATGGAACATTTCTGAATGTATCATTGACTAAGATATTTCAGTAAAAAAGAACGAATGAAAAGAAAAAGTGTAAATGACCCTTTCAATTCGAGAACATTTTCCATTAAAACATGCATTTGTGGAAAAGTCGAGAGTAACATTCAAGATTAGGCCAAATTATATCCAAACAAACTAAGCAGGGATAGGATCCACTTTGGCAATGTAAGTTACCAATTTTAAAGAACACGGTCTGTCACTCCATGCATAGATATTAATTAGAGTACCACATATAACTTTCTATCTGTAGATTGTAATGAAATCACCAATTTCGACAATTCCGGCGCACGATAGATTCATTGATGAGGATAATGACGTCACATTTAATTACATATTTATGAAGCGGAGGTTCGGTTGTGGTGCACGTCCTATCAAATCTGTCAGAGCCAGTATACAATGCCTCGTTTCAATGAGCGTATATAGCACTTCCATTCGTTGGTGGAACTGCATCGCATAATTTCCAGATGAGTTGAGTGGTGTGAATATTTCAGTTCATCATCCATGATCAAAGTGAGAAGCTCAAATGGGAACGATATGAATCGATTAAATCGGCAACCTTCGAAACATTGTATAGCTTTGATCAGTTTTATCTGAGCTTATTTCCACCAATTGTTGCGAGTGCTGAGCGTTGCAGCTTAAAGCTGAGAGGCAACTCTCCTATTTGATTAACAATCATGGCCTAAATATAGAAAGTAGGTATGGTCATTCTGTGAATTGCACTGTATCTGTGGTAGTGATGTAGATGCTCAAGGGATACCTTGCAGCTATCGATTCATATTGCACTCATTTCGAGCATCTTTTTTGATCGTGGAATCATGGCTGAAGGCCAAAGTATAAACATAAAAATAGAATCCGTCTGCTCCTTGGAGATAGATACAGAAATAATTGTTTCCTGTCAAATCAAAATATTTAAAATGCTTAAAAAAAACTATTCAATTTGAGAGAAACACGTATTACAATCGCTCAGTCCGGCAACAGTGAGAAGGCTTATTTTACTTCTTTGGTTGTTCTCAACTTTGAGAAATAAGAGGCGAAAGCGAAATATCGAAGCACAAAGAAAAATGCAAAATATGTTTTTCATATTTCGCAATTTGCTCTCAGAATCTTCTGAGCGCAGTATCGCAGCGCCAATTTTCTTAGTAAAAAAAAATAATTTCCTCTTAAAGTTAAATTAAATTATCATCAGTGAATGTGTTCTGTGCCTGTATGCCAGATATTGCCAAAAAATCTGACAATTCAGCTTATTTAAATATCAGCATCTCCAGCCATCGCAAATAAGTTATTAGTGTCTCGTATAAAACTGACATTTCTTAATACTTGTCTTGGGTAGAGAAAAATCACGCTGACTATCTTACAGAAAGCGGACATGGGTAAATCCACGGAATTGAGAAATTAATTTATTGTGATGAAATTTGACGAGGAGTTGCAGTAGGAAAAGCATTCAATTATTAGGGAAATAATTTTATGGGAACGAAAACTGTACCCAGCATTGCACATCGATCAGAAAATTATACGTTTATTTCAATTTTTTAAATATTTCAATTACATGAAGGGTCTAAAATTTTTTGTGTCACTATTTTCTTGTTGGAGAGCTGATAGAAATGCTGGAAGGAAGAGCTCGTGTCTACCTGGTGTAATGTAATTGAATCCGTTACCCTATAAAGACCCAATCGCCATAAAATTAAAAATAATTAAGCTAATGCGATTCGTTAGAAATCAGAAGAAATGGATTTTTATACTGCAAATTTGACTGTAATCGGGGGATAGGTTGAAATTTGTCGGTTCATTCTCATCGAGGTTCAATCGCTAGTTCGTTTTTTCTTCTTTTTCGGTTCAAGTTATTTCTGACAGAACCATGATCCATATTTGGGGACCGTTTTTATGAATTACGTTACACACTCTTCCGGCATTTTTAACTCCTTCCCCCTCGTAACGCTTATGTGCGGCGTAAGTCCCTATTCTTAACGCGTACAAGCAAAATGGTGTAACCCCCCCCCCCTCCCCCCGGGGAACGTAACGCAATTTATGAACGGACCCTTTTTCATTTTTCTGATACATTCATGTTTCTAAGCTGTGAGATATTAAAACGGATCAATTAAAACGCAGTCTTTTTTGTTTTTCTCGTATTTCAATTTTTTTAAGTTTAAGTCTTATTGAGAATGATCGATTCAATTCATGCGGGGATACGGGTTTGCGTTATGGATAAGTTTGGTGCACTGTAGGGGGCAGAAAGGATTAAAAAAGGAAAAAGGTAATTACACAGTATTGAAATAGCCCTCCGTCTCATACATAACTTGGAAGCACCCTCAAAGGCCGTATTAAAATCGTTTTCTAAACAGCTCCCTGCGCTCCGAAGAAAATCCATAATTTACTTTGTGATCAATAAAAGTTTAATGAGACTTTTAAATTTTAATGTAGATTCTGAGAAAAAAGATTCTGTTTAAAGATCTTTTAATTAAGAATACGCAATAAGGATTTCTTGATACTTGCAACATTTCCTTCGATGTTCCGACTTCCTAAAAATTTGATCTGAAAATGGACAGGAAAATGTACTACAACCCTGATAAAAATTGGCAGTAGAATCTGTGTTCCACAATACCATAGACATACAGCCGGCTGTAAGATTTCCAATAGCTACTATAGCCGGCTACACAATTTCTTATAGCCTTTTATAGCCGATGGCGACTAAGCAACAGCCAGGCGATAAAGTGTATGCTAAACGTTACTAATTACGGATGCTAGGACTTAGTGAGTTTTTGGAATACTGCACTCTTTTTGGGCCGTAGTATCTTGATTTATTTTGCAAGGAAAGCTCCATACTTTTGATGGATGCCTGCCCTTACTAATATATTAGAGCGCCTTCAGTTTTGTATGATACTGTGCACCTCTGGTGTGAAATAGTTGCTTCAAGCGCCGTGGCACGCTGCGGCGCGAAAGGCGGGCAGCCAGCGCGAGACGCACATTGGCGCCTACAAACCTAACAGGGATACTTCACGCATTGCGCAATGCGTGAATGGCGCCTACAAACCTAACAGGGATACTTCACGCATTGCGCAATGCGTGAAGTATCCCTGTTAGGTTTGTAGGCGCCAGTGGGTCGCCGCTCCGCTTTGTGTTAGGCTCTAATATTTAATCTGGCGGAGTCAGCGTTATTCAACTCACGATTTTGAAATTTTTGCACATCCTGTATGGATTATTCTCATTTTAATTAATGAAAAAAAAATATGTATTAAAGGAAAATATAATGTGTGTTTTGTAAATATTAAGGTGGTTCTGTATCAAACTTAATGATTTCCAAAGCCCACGAATTTCTACACAATTTCTTATAGCCTTTTATAATCGATGGCGAAAAAGCAACAGCCAGGCGACAAAGTGTAAAGCCCGGCGATAAGAACTATAGCCCGGCTGCATACTTTTTTATCGCTTCGTATAGCCCGGCCGTGTGATTTTCTCCGCATTACAGCCAGCTATATGATTTTCTGTAGCCTTCTCTAGCCGGCTATAAGAATTCTTATGGTATTTTGAAACGCAGCTCTTATCGCTAATTTTTTACCAGGGAACTGAAATTTGGAGCTGCAGAAAATAGTGACTTAAGTCCTTGAAAATGGAATTTCCAATTCCTTTGCGTGAATGTGCCCGAGGAGGATTCGTTTAAAACATCTGTTGTGTCCACGGAAAAAACAACTTAGCACTGAGACCTAGTGCCTTGGGCGAAAAAGCTCCAATACAGGCAGTAGTGCAGAGCTCTACAGCTTCAAGGTCCAGCCCCACAGCTTGAAGGTTCAGCCCTGTTGGCTGTAGGGTCCCACACCACTGCCTGCAGTTGGCGCTATTATACCTGCAGTATTAGGGCTCAATGGTAAGTTTTTTTCCGCGTTCCTTACTTGGTTTATTGTGGAAAGAACGAATAAAAGGTAATGCAGCATTGCATCCATGATATTGCCTGCTCACCGATAGAATGCCCGGCTGCTCATCACGTCCCAGATATTGGACTCCAGGCTCACTTTAATGAGGAATATTTTTTTTTTTTTTCGGAAAATCAAAGTGAGCACAGCGTTCAAAACTGTAGGATGTAGATATTAGACGTCTCTGACATTAGACGATCATAGGGTTCAAATATTTATCTGGTCAATTTTTGTAAAATAAAGACGAAACAAATGTGCTCTCACAGAAAATTGTTGATTGGTTAGGTTTGGGTTAGTTCAAGTTAGATTGTATAAGACAAATATACCATTTTTTATTATGATGAAGAATGGATGGATATTAAAACTTGGTATTTCCAAGATATTGGACTTCATAATCAATCAAGCGAAGAAGTGAAAAGTTTGGCGATGAGCATGGAATCCAAGATCTCGGACGCAATGCTATACATGGATTACATTTAGCAATAAGGAACCACTATTTCTGGCCCATTTTAGGAACAACATACATACCATTGGTTTCCCTATGCAGATATGTGCTTTTATGGGAGAGCCAAAGATAGTGGTTCCTTATTGCAAAATGTAATCCACATAATCGAATAAAAGAGTCTGAAGTAAAGCAAAGGAGAGGATGAGCTGAATGAAAGGTTGAAAAAAGGTTCTTGCCGACACATTTTAATTAAACTTAATTACTGACGTCAGTGTTTCGGGGAAGTTTGAGCAATGTCACTCAAGTCGGACGGTAGAATAATAAAATTAATAAAATTCCGGCTGACTGCGTTTGATGATGAACGTAAGCGGGAACGGATTCCGACCTCGTTTTTAATATTTTTAATGCATCAGACAGGAAAAACATATTTACCCAATACGCGCACCATTCTTCCGCCGGGTATCCCTTTTTCCGGCTGGGGACATTTTCCGACCCCCTCTTCCGCTTCCGCCTCAGGCGTCCTTGGTCGATGAACGGAGATCAAGATTGCCTGATTAGCAGCGCAAAAGTATTGTCATGGGAACGGAGTTCCCCATGATATTACAATCGTTCCGTTGCTTTCGCTATGGGATTCCCTATACCTCTGCGACCTTGAGCGTTTCGCCCAGTCTCCGATTTTTGGTAGATTTTCCGATGTATCAAAAACCGTTGTATTTTTTAGCCAATCATGTCTCTACGTCAAGTTGTGTTGATTTCTAAAATTCGCTTTCAGCGAGTTTGTTTCCACTTTGAGATGTCGTGTCTGACTGGTAAATCTGCGCAGAACCACGAAGTTCCGTTTTTAGGCAAATTCTTTTTTTTTGGGAGGTTTTCATTGGCTATTTTTCGCCATCAGTTTTCTGTTCGTTGGTGCAAAAGATCGCCTACCTCGTTGCTCTTGAGAAGCCGCCATTATCCCACCTCAAATTTTAAACATAGATATAAAGAAATAATAACCATCGTACAAGGTGGAAAATTGCTCTGGAGGACCCGTTACGGATATATGAGCCAAAATCAGAACTCGATTGATGGATTTAATCCATGAATACAGAAATATTGCCTCAGCTTACTGCCGCGATCGCAAATGCATGGTGTGATGAACTTTGTGACATATGACAGCATAGGTAAACAATGTCTCACAGAGTAATACGGTTAATCCGTTGTCTCTCAGGACGCCAGTGGCCGAACTGTTGAAATCTCAAGGACGTCTTTTGTGAAGCCCCGCTCAGCGTCCGAGATCACTTAACTGTTCTCTTTTTCTCCACTCTCATCCGAGCGGCGAGATAGCTCAGTTAGCTACGCCACTGTTCTGATTCTGGGAGAGCTTCACTTTTTGTGCGAGCGGGGGTTCGAATCTCGTAGGGGACAGCTAATTTTTACTGGTTGTATTGAATGTTTTAGACCAATCATCTAACAATAATTAATACTTGGCAACTTAGGAAGCACATAGGTCCCTTACAATGCGTATTCGGGCATATGTGTAGAGTAAAAATATCATACGTAGGGTGTCCCAAAAGTACCGGGACTGGTTCTGTAACTTCAAAAGTAAGATAGATACAGACATCATTTTGGTCTCATTTTAAAGATCAACTCAATACCTATCGATTAAAACCAAGATCAGCTCAATCGAATAAAAATTGACCGAGTTATGACAATTTAAAATTAGTGAGGAAAGTTTACCCCTACGGTTTTTAGGAAGATTTTTCGCTTACCAGGATTCAAAAAGTAAATATTCGTATCCACTTTCCTCCGAATCTTCCATAACTTCCTTTTGCTTTTCAAAGTACCGTCCATCAAACCGGATGCACTTTTTCATGCGCTCTTGCCACTTATCCAACATTGTTTTCCTGAATTCTTCCTCTGGGATGGAGTTGAAAAAGTTTTGAATTGCATTCTGGATTTCGGTCTTCGATACGAATCTTCGTCCGCGAAGCTCCTTTTTAAGCGTAGGAAACATCCAAAAATCACATGGAGCCAAGTCAGGGCTATAAGGGGGATGAGGGATTGTTTCAACTCCATTTTTACTCATAAATTCACGTGTTAAGCTCGATGTGTGAGGCCGCGCATTGTCTTGATGGAGTATCCACGAAGCTTTCAAGTCCGACCGTTTCCGGGAAATGTGCATTCTCAACTCCTTTAGTACTTTGCAATAATACGCACTGTCAACTGTTGTGTTTGATGGTACAAAATGTTGATAAATGACACCTCGAAAATAAAAAAACACAATAAGCATCACTTTATCGGCCGACTTTTCGATTTACGGCGATGAAGAATCTTCCTTAAAAACCGTAGGCGTAAACTTTCCTCGCTGATTTCAAATTGCCATAACTCGGTCAATTTTTATCCGATTGAGCTGATCTTGGTTTTAATCGATGGGTATTGAGTTGATCTTTAAAATGAGATCAAGATCATGTTTGTATCTATCTTACTTTCGAAGTTACAGAACAAGTTTTTTGGGATACCTTATGTATACTTTACGCCGAAAAAGCGAACCTGAAACTTAAATGCGTTAACTTCCTAAAACCATATATAATCCAACGAAAATAAATAATTGGTACATAACAGCTTTCTTGTATGCAAAAAAAATAATTAAAAATGTTAAAAAAGAGATGTCAACACAAAATTACATAGCCCCTTCAATTCAGAAGATACTACAAACGAACTGTACCTTAACATTTTCATATCCCAGAAGCTAACGTTCCCATGACGAATATTGCCATCGCTAGCGATTGCAAAATCCAACTTGTTTTTCTTTACATCTTTAGTTGCCACCACCCTTTGAATCTTACCTGGAATGCCTCTGAGAATTTATTAAAAAATTAAAGCAAAACGATGGCTAACGAACAATATCGTCTATCTGCAAACTGACAATTTTCCAGAACGAAGAGATAACTTCGTCACTCTTGTAATTTCAAGGTTATATTTGCATTTTTACACATGTGAAGAGCAGTCGGCAGGAAAGGAGATGTTGCATGTGTGAGGAATTCGCGATTTGACTGTTGATTCTTAGGTAACAGTTCGCGAGGAACACGATGGTGCCTCAGGTTTTCAATAAAATTAACTCCCAAGCTCAAAAAATGCTCTCAAGTTGAGGCCAAAATGGAGAGGATATCACGCGGCGTTTTTCTTTGCACGACAAAAGTCTGCATCGTCGCAAACCGAGATACGTGGTTCGGGAATTTTACCATCGGTTTGTAAATATACCTTGAGGTATGACAACGCAGGCAGCAATTTCCAGATGCGAGGAGATAACCGAGTTTTCATAATTTGCGCGATTCCCTGTTGCTCTCTCGGAGCCGGACGTTGAGGGACCTTCGATGACCTCCGATGCCCTTTGATTCCGGTCCATTAGCCGTGAAAAATGAACGTCCCGTCCAAGGCATTTCCCCGGTGGTCGAATTTTCCCCTGGTGCCCTCAAACGTTCGTCGCATCACACAGAGAGGAAATATTAAAATTATTGATGCTTCGGGCCAACTCTGATGAACCGTGGTTGAAATATTTCGTCGTTTCCAACCTTCTATAGGAAAGAACGTAACTTCATTTCTCCGTTGCAAAATTTCCACTCGTAAATTGCATTTTAACGAGAAAACTATTAAGCGTTTCTAACTGAAAATCAAATAATTTTTCCCTCTGACTACACCCAAAAATTCGTAAAAATTATTCAAACATTCCATAGTGATGTTCTCGAAAAAAAATTAACTATTTGAGTCAATTTTGCAACCTTGGACTGGAATTACGCTTATTCGTCAGTGGAAGACGATTTATAGTGGCATAGCGCATATTGCCGTGCTAGGGAAAAACGCCGTAAGAGCCTCCAGTCGTTGCCAAATTTTCTTTGATAAAACACAAATTCCCGGGTAAACTGCTAAGTATTTTCGATCAATTTTTCAGAGAATTTCGTTTGTATTTTGTTCTAAAGTTCCTGAAAATTTCAAGGAAAAATATTCACAAATTTTCTCCAAAACAAACATGTTATCAAAGGAAATTTGACAACTATCGCATGTTCTTACAGCGTTCTTTCTTAGCACGGCAGCATAGCTTTTCATGTTTCTATGCTTTATCGTAGCAATGCTGATGGTGACGTTAATAACTAGATTTGCACTTAAAACGTGATTTCTTGTTCACAGTCAGAAGGACGAAATGCTTTCACCTTTTTTTGCTATGAGAAAAGATGTGAAAAATGTTTTCTTCAGATCGTTACGTCAAGCTCTGATTATTTGTAAATTTTTTCACCCTATTGTGTAACTAATCTTTTAATTTTTTTTCAACAGCGATATTTCAAAGATCAACTGAACGGTGTCGGGATCTGTGTTCTGAACTTGGCTGACGATAGTCACGACTACATGCGGAGTCTCTTTTTTCTAACGTGAGTTATTTTTACCAAAAAGTTTATTTATAGGCGTAGATACGTTGTTTTGCTAAAAGACCTGACCTTCCTTTTTACCAGGAAAGACGGAGTCTGAGGGGCCTCCCCTGGCAGTGTCTTACAATTTTAATCTAATTAGTCGAATTTTAAGGCTTTTGTGGCCCACATTTTCTATTCTTTCCTGCACAAAAATTGCGCCCTTTTTGTGCATTTTCAACTAAAGGTACTTTTGAATTGATGAATTCAATAAATTTTTTCATAACGTGGAAAATTTTTGAAATTTTAACTCTGGACGTATTATGAGACTTTCGTGACGAATACTGCCTATTCGTTTCCGCACAAAAATCACGCTGTTTTGTGCGTTTTCAGCTCAAAATACCATATCGAATCGCCGGATTCAAGAGTTTCATGTTTTCCCCCTCCACCCAGAATTTCAGAAAAGGAGGCGAATGGTATTATTTTCAATTCTAGGAGGGCTTTGCCCCTCCCCCTTTGCTACTACCATGAATTTATCTAAAGTCTGCCACGTCTGTAATTTCAATTTCTTCATTGTTATCCTGTTTTGAGAAAAAAGTGAAAGGGAACGTTGCATTCGAAGAATCAAAATTTACTTTAGGAACAGAGCGGTTATCTTTCGTGTAAAAAATCACCGAAAGATCCTTCAAATCCGTTATATTTTCCCCCTCACATTTTTCAATGCCGCTGAATCTGTCAAAAAATTGGGAATATAAATATCAACCATTAAAGTAATTAAGATCGATTTCAATTACTTGATGTCAAAATCATATTTTTAACGGTGCGACGCACTGTCAAATGATGCATGAATGAATAACTTAAAAACTTATATTGTAAATTCAGACGTAAAATGTTTTTTTTTGCGGATGACAATTCTGAAGAAGCGTACGCTAAGCACTTCTTAAGGGCGATTTAAATCCATTATGCTGGTTCCGAATGTAACGTCAAGTCAAGTTTATGAAAGGCACTGCGTCGTAACCTTTTAAGTCTCCCGGGGACTAAAGCTGTTCGTGTCAGGCGGATTTTTAACACCTGCTTCTCACACTGAGCGTATCCCCCACTTTGTCGCGCCGTAAGATCAACGTCATGCTTGAAATTTGCGTTGTACATTTTTACGACGATAATGAATTTAAAACTGGAAAATGAGCGATAATGGCTCAGTTAGTTATCATTTCTAAGCAAGAGAACTCGCAAACATACAGAGACATTGTAAATTCATTTATTTTCTTAACAAATCCACGAGTCTCATTTAAATGCGCCGAAGGAAATTCAAAATTCTCTGCAAGGACTGTCCGGTAAATTAATAGTGACCGATGTTTTTGAATCACTCCGGGAGGGAGCGGAAGGAGGTTGTGCGAGAAAGCTTGCCTATCAATATGAGAGCTCGAATGTCAAACTAGTTGTGAGCGCACTATGGACTTGTCTTTATTTAATAAGGGAGACAAATAGAGCTCCTTCCCTGCACTTGGTACAAGCTGCAGCTCGATTTGCTGCAGGGGTAGTAATTAAGGTGATTCGACGGTTGCCATTTTTTGTGTCAGAGCGACGTGCGATATACCGCATCAATTCATTCCATAATTTCAGCTGCCTATAATTTTTTTCGAATTTTGAGATTGCATTTCTGTTGTCATGAGACTAAAGAATTCATGCACCAAATTTGACAAAGAAATTCAACGCAATAAAGGCACGGTTTTTTCAGAGGAAAAATATTGAATTCGAGTGCAGTTTCCATATCAGTATCGAATGCTATATTTTTCCTCTGAAAAAAACCCTGCCTTTATTATGTTGAATTTCTTCGTAAAATTTGGTACATGAATTCTTTGGTCTCGTGACAACAGAGGTGTGATCTCTAAATTCGAAAAAAATTATAAGTAGCTGAAATTATGGATCGAATTGATGCGATATATCGCACGTCGCTCTGACACAAAAAATGGCAACCGTCGAACCACCTTAATACGGTAAGATCAGGCAATTTTCCGAGTATGCAACACGCGTATCTGGGGGGCACCCACGGTTGCATCAAAGCTTAAAAGCATCGTTGACACTTGATACAAGCTGAAGGTACCTCGCTCGATTTAGAGAACGA